AAATATATTCATAAAAATAGTTAAAATGGTAGATTTTACTGTGATAAACATATCTAAAAATCAAGCAGCAACAACAGCAAAAAAATAGAAAGCCATGTTTTACAAACAGAACCATGGTAGGAAGTTCTCAGGCTCCCTGAACTCTTGCTCTCATATGGCCTCCTGACACAGTGGTAAGAGCCTGGTGTCTGAGGGCTGCTGAGCAAACTTGGACAAGCCCTGGTTCCCTTGTGTCTACCTTACAGGCCTATTGGGAGAAGCAAAGGATACCACGTGTGGGGACCAGCCCCTCAGGCCCGGGGCAGGATGGGGACACCTGATCTGAGATACCTGAGCTGCCCCCTGAGGCTGTGAAGGGGCTGCCTGTCCTAAGACCCAGGGAAAAAAAAAAATCTCCTCTCCTCAACGGACCCCTTCATTTTTCTCCTCCTCTCTCCCAGCCCCTTAAACTCAGAAGACCTTACTCGCTCAGCATTTTATCTCCCCCAATACATGCCAGTCCCCTTCTCCCTGCTGCCACTGTCCCCACATCTACCAGGCTGGGCCCTGGGGTGGGAGTGGCCGGCAGCAGGGACAACATCCCCCCTCCCCCCATACACAGGTCTCTCCTCTTCCCTGGAAGCTCTGGCTTCAGGGCAAAGGCTCAGCTATTCCTCTCTCCCTGCCCACCACTACCCGATGGAAGGGGCGGTAAGAGGAACCAAACTAGAGGTGATGGAGGCTCACCCCAGGGAGCCAAAGTGCCATGTGCAGGTCAGAACAGAGTTGAAAGACCAAAAGAGGCCCCCAGTCTGCTGACAGGAAGCTCAGAGGCAAGGAGACCCTCTCCCCATGAACCTTGGGCCAACCACTCGGGCTGGCACCTTCTCCACCAGGTGTCTAGGGGCATCAGATGGACTCTTTGCCAGGGGTGGGCAGCAGAGTCGAATCTGTAGAGAGGAGCCCAGCCCACCACCCCCAACAGCAGAGCTTGGCTGTGCTAGGCAGGCAATGTCCAGGGTAAAAATAGAGCCAGAGGAAAGCCTGGCTGGGTCCTGTGACCACCCCTGCCTGCCTGCCTGCCTGCCACACCCTCCTCCGTGTCTGCCCAGGCAGCCGGAGACATTGCGAAGTCCACCGCAGGCCTCTAGAGCCGCTCCCGCCATCCTACCTCCATGCCCCGAACCCCGACTCCCCCGGCTGGCATCTGGATTGAGGGACACAGAGAACCGTCTGGACTTAGATCTGTTCGGGTTCCCCTACATCAGTGATGGCGAACCTTTCTAGCTTGGCGTGTCAGCATTTTGAAAAATCCTAACTTAACTCTGGGCCGTGTCACATATAGAAATTTTTTGATATTTGCAACCATAGTAAAACAAAGACTTATATTTTTGATACTTATTTTATATATTTAAATGCCATTTAACAAAGAAAAATCAACCAAAAAAATGAGTCCGCGTGTCACCTCTGACACACGTGTCATAGGTTCGCCATCACTGATGTAGGGGAACCCGAACAGATCTAAGTCCAGACCGTTCTCTGTGTCCCTCCATCATAAAGTCCCAGGGAAAGGCACGTTGTGACGGGGCTCTGATCTCAAGGGTATTGGGCTGTGGAACCAGGGTCAGGGTGAGGGCCTGAGCATGGTTCCCAGCTCACTTCCATGGTGGGGGGTGGGTAGGTGAGCTGCACAATGGGTTCTGAGCTGGAGACGGCGATGGAGACTCTCATCAATGTGTTCCATGCCCACTCGGGCAAGGAGGGGGACAAGTACAAGCTGAACAAGAAGGAGCTGAAAGAGCTGCTGCAGACCGAACTCTCTGGCTTCCTGGACGTAAGCACAGGGTGGAATGGGGGAGGGGTGGGGCGACGGAGTGGGCATCTCCCTGCCATCTCCCCACCCCAGCCCGGCCCAGCTCACCCATCTCCTTCCTCTCCTGGTTCAAGTCAAAATACCCTGATTTATTCATCACCAGTGCCAGGCCCTGTGTCAGTACATCAGAACCAAGGCTCACAGTCTAGCAGGGAAAGACTGGCACCTGAAAGTATACCTTGAACACCAGGAAGCACACAGACCTTAAAGGAAGTGGCGGAAAATATTATGGGAGGATGTTAACCTGGTTGAAGTGGGACAGCTTCTCCAAAGAAGTGGCCCCGGAGCCATAGATTTCCAGTGGAAGGCTATCAGGGTGAATGCAGACATCTTAGGAGGAGGTGTTTGCATGAACAAAAGCCTGGCAGGAAGAATATGCAGCATGCGCAGCAGTTTTGACCAGAGTGAAGGATGCAGAAAAATAGGTTAGCTCTGACCAGGTAGCGTCATCCCCAAACGCCAAGGTTGCAGGTTTGATCTTTGGTCGGGGCACGTAGGGGAAGCAACCAATAAATGCATAAGTAAGTGAAACTACTAATCGATGTTTCTCTCTCTCTCTCTCTCTCTCTCTCTCTCTCTCTCTCTCTCATCAATTAAAAAAAAAGCTAAAGGAGAAGTAAAAAGTGAAACAGCTTTGAGATTTTATTAGACCTGGGTTCCAACTGTGACACTGCCACTTCCTAGCGTGTGACTTTGGACACGTTGTTTAACCACCAGCTGTCCATTTGTTTCTTCTCTAGAATAGGAATAATGAAGACTGCTTCATACGGTTACATTAGACAAGGCTCCTAAACTCCAGGTGTAGTGCTTACCCCATAGCAGGCACTCGACTTATACCTGATGTTATCATTACTCTGCCTTGTTGAGGAGCTTATTCTGTGGGCAACGGGAGACTCCGGGTGTCGGTTTGGAGGAGGGCAGCAGAAGAGTCCCATATTTAGATGTAGCTCCCCCTCGTGCCCATCTCTGTCTCCTTCTCCCCAATCAACCACCCCCTTGCCTCTGACAGCGTTATAGACATCGCCATACAGTGCTCTCTCTGTCTCCTCGATTCGCAGGCCCAGAAGGATGCGGAGGCTGTGGACAAGGTGATGAAGGAGCTGGATGAGAACGGAGATGGGGAGGTGGACTTCCAGGAGTACGTGGTGCTGGTGGCTGCCCTCACGGTGGCCTGTAACAACTTCTTCTGGGAGAACAGTTGAGCAGACAGCCCCAGCGGGCCGCGCCCTTCCCCTCTGCCCTGCCATACCTGCCCCTACACCCTGCTTTCCTTCGTCCCCACCTTCCCCTCCCCATAGTCCCACCTTTGCCCACCCTCCAACAAGGGCGCAAGAGTAGTGGGCCAGACCTGCAACTCGTCTTTCATTAAAGGCTTCTCTCTCAACAGCTGCTGTCGGTCTCCTTTGGGCTCTGGACGCGGGTGGGGGAAGTAAAGGTGGCTCACTTCCAATTTGCCTTGTTTTGGGTGGAATCTTATGTAGAGAGAGGTCACGGAACCATTGCCTCTTCCTACTTGAGGGAGTCTCAAGGCCCAGGAAGGGAGGGGTTCAAGGTTCCAGCTGGAAGTGAGGGAGATGTTAGCTTCTCAGCTATAAAAGCCAGAAGGAGAATTTCCCTTAAAAGAACATTTAGAGGATCTCCCATGTGCTAGACATCGTGTAGGAACTGGGGATACAGCGGTGAATAAAACAAACACACTCCTAACCCTCACACAGATAAAGTCCAGTAAGGACGCCCGGCCATTAACCACATACACAGAAATGCTAGGATCCTCATGGGCGCAGTGGGGGTTGAAGAGGGTGGAGGGTTGAAGATGTGTTCATTCATTCATTCATTCATCAAACATTTGAGCATTTTGTGTATCCAGGCATTAGAAAACCCCATTTATGTCTGTATCAAAATCCACATAGATGGCTGATGAGGGGAAGACCTGGAAGGGAGATCAGGGACTCAAAGATTCCACCCAAATAAGGATTTAACAATTTAATAATATTCAGGCCAAATTGGGGTGGGGAGAAAGTGAAGAGGAAAATATGGAGTGGGGGGGGGGGGGGGGGTGACTGGAGCAGGATCCAGTAGAGGTGGCTGGGCGTTCATGGCACTCCACAACTCTCTAGAGAGAGCAAATGATAAGGTGGGGAGAACCAGTGCAAATTAAGAAGTTTATTTATTTTTAAAAAATACTTTTATTGATTTCAGAGATGGAGAGGGATAGAGAGATAGAAACAGCAATGATGGGAGAGAAACATCATCAACCAGCGCACGCGTCCTGACCGGGAATCGAACCCGGTGACCTCCTGGTTCAGGGGCCGGCGCTCAACCACTGAGCCACACCAGCCGGGCCCGCATAAAGCATCTTAGACGCTCTGCCTTAGTTTGGGGAAGCGAGCAGACGCGCGAGGAAATACGAACACAATTCCCACGGGGACCAAAACCGCTCGGAGGGGCCCAGATCTCGTACTAACAACCCTGCCCGTTAGAAGAACCTCCAAATGCAAGGCCTTGGCCAAGCCCCTCTGTGGGCCAAGCACCGCGAGCTCTCAGACCGGGGCTTCGCTAAAGCCCCGCCTTCTCTCTACGGCTCCGCCCCGCTTCCCGCGCAGGCGTAGCACAAACCTCCCCGCCCCCTAGTTGTGCGCAGCTCTGACGTATGACGTAACTGCGTCGACGCCATTTTAGCCGGTCCCACTCCGCACTGGGCGTGGCGGCCATTTTGTTTGGGCACGGAGCGGGAGTTGGTGGCGGCGGTTGCGGTGGCACCGACGAAAGGCAGGAAAGGGCAGGCCGTGTGGGCAGGTGGACCGGCTGAGCCCAAAAGACAGCCAGCCAACAGCGAACTGACCTAGCCGTCTACCACTTACGCATCTAGCCAGCCAAACCAGTTCGCCCGAGCCCCTTCACCATCAACTCAGGTTCGGCCGGCCCCCGGCCCCCCTTCCGCAGCCGTCGTGGCAGCCCCGGGAGGAGCACTGGCGTCCTTTTCCTTCGGTAAGTTTCTGTGGTGAGAAGGATAGGCTCGGGGAGCGGAAGGGCCGGCGAACCGGACGGGTTTGGGATGTGGAAGCCGAGAGGGTG